CACACACACACACACACACACACACACACACACACACACACACACACCACTAACCATGTAACTCTCAGTGAGATGCAGGCTTCATCTGGCCTGCTACCGTACATATGTAAAAAGCTGAGTTGATAGATGGAGGTCCTTTGAGCGCTGCACTCATTCTGTACCTGCAGAGTCTAATAGACTCTGAGCCAATGTCTCAGCATCAAGGGTCCTTAGAGTAACTGAAGAGAGGGCTGTAGGGAACTCTTGCTGTTTGGGGATCTCCTTTCCCTCATCTTAAACTCACCATTCTCTTTATTCTTCCCTTTTCAACCTTTCAACCTTGTCCCATGAGGCTTTCTGTAACTCCATGCAGCTCCCACGCCATCCCAACATTCTTCAGTCACTGGTCAGGTAGAAGACAGCTGAGGTGGCAAGGTGACGTCTCACTGTGCTTAACTGACTTCATTTGCAAATGCTCATTGTATCTAAGGTGCTCTTCACTTGGTGATTTTCAAAATATATTTAATTAAAACTTTTATGCTTATGAGTGTTTGCTTGCATGTACATACCTGTACTGACATGCATGCTAGATGCCTACGGAAGTCAAGAGACTATTGGATTTCTTGGACCTGGAGTTATGGATGCTTGTAAGCCACCATGTGAGTGCTGGGCACTGAACCAGGCCCTGAATTAGAGGAGCAAGTACTCCTAACTGCTGAGCTATCTTTTCAACCTCTAAATTGTATTTTCGTCTGGTGGGTTTTATTTAAAAACAAGTACGCTAGGCAATAAGTAAGCAGAAGTCCTTGGCTGGTTGTTTTGTTGTTAGGACTGTAGGTTTAAGAAGTAAGAAGGGGGCTAACCATTGTTTCTCACCTATCTTCAATAATTACATTTGTGAAGTCATTTGATATTTTTTAATGGCATAGAAAAATTTATTTAGTAAATGTTACGTGACTCAAGCATGTTGCCAAGTAGCCTCAATTATATAAAATTTCACATATGTGCAGAGAAGAAAGACAAATGAAGTACATTAACTGTAAATGGTGTGGGTGTAGGATTATGTAGGAGTTCTTTTTCTTCTAAATGAGAACAAAAGTAAGTATAGAATTCTAGTTCCTTCTCAAATTCTCCAGATAAGTAGGAAGTTGTTACTTCCATACTCTAATGCTTGGTTGAGTAGCCTCTTTGTCCCTAGTGTATCTGTAAACTCGGACACTCACATAGCGACCAGCCATGTCTCTGTTGTTTTTCCAGTGGACGATTAGAGAAGAACCAGCATGCTGTCTGTACCTTTGGGGATGAGGCAGGTGATTCCTCAGCATCACGATGATGCTCAGAGTGGTCGAGCCAGTGTTCTGTCAGACACTGTTCTGAGAGCCTGGCATGTACTGTACTGGCTCATTTAATCAGCACAGCAGCCCGTTTTACAGAAGAGGAAACCGAGGCAAAGGAAGAATGGGCAGCCACTTTCTTGGGGCACGGACTGATAGGTGGAAGCCTGAGGTGGGAAGCCCGATGACACCTGCAGGTGCTCTGGGAGGAAGCGGATCCTCAGCAGCTTTAGAGCTGGGCCTCTTTAGTGTCCTCACTGTGTGCCACAGGCACCTTTTGGATGCCTGAGGATCCACACATGAGGATGGTGTGTATTTGGTCATGCTAAATTACGTGTTGGTTTTGTTTCCACGAAAAACATGGAGATACTTTTCCAAAACAATGGATACGGACTTCATTAAAAATGAACAGACATCCAGACCCCACAGAATTTTTTTTTGTTTTGTTTTTTTGTTGTTCGGATGTTTTTGTTTTGTTTTTGTTTTGAGACAGGGTTTCTTTGTGTAACCCTGGCTGTCCTGGAACTCACTTTGTAGACCAGGCTGGCCTTGGACTCAGGATCTGCCTGCCTCTTGCTGGGATTAAAGGTGTGCCTGGCTGTTCTG